GAGCAAAAAAAAAAAAGACCAAAAAAAAAAAAGACCCAAAAAAACAGGCCCTCCGAAATAATACTCGAAGGCACACTGCGCGCCTCGCCAGCATCATCATCGCTCAGCGCATCCCAGAAGCCATCCTCAAAACTGCCATCACAATGAGCACACTCTACCCACACTGCAATGTCTCGCTGGGTGCCGTGCAGAAGCAACCAACAACGCTTCCCCGTCCTGCATCCAAACTCTCGTCGGTGGATGTCCAAAGCTGCGATCAAAGGAAAGCGCAGTGGCTTCACCCCGGCATCTGAGCCGGCAACGTTGACCGGGAAGCTGAAGATGTCTGGAATGCAGCTCACGCCGGCACCCTGCGCAACATCTACCTGGCCTCAAAGCCTGGCTCCTCATGTCGCAAACCAGAGCTATCCACACGGAGCCCCGAACTCCATCAAACTCCCAGGGCCACACCCACTCCCCAAGCCGCAGGTCGAGCACCGCGACAGGAGAAACGAAGGGGCGATGATGCTCATAGTGCTGCCCCATTCCCCTCAAGTCCCGACTCCCCGCAACCTCTACCCCCCCCCCTCCCCCGCCAGATGGAGAGCCCTGCTACTGAGCCAGCGCCTTCAAGTTGTGGTCCCCCAGCGATCGGGAGACGCTCAGGGCACCACCAACTCGGCCGAATCGAACGAAGCCGCCCTCCTTCGCCCCGCTTAGGCTTGGCATTTCGCTCAGAATTCTTGACACCAGCTTCCCGGATTCCAGTCCTCGGAGACACGCCGGGCCTGGCGCATGGAGCGTCTTCGAACGAGTGTTTCCTATGGTGCTGCAGTTGAGCTGGGATTTCGTTGCCTCGTCAGGATCGCTTGCACGATGATCTCTGGAGACCTGCTACTGTAGTTAGCTGTCCAGCATGCCGCTGAAAGCCGACAAACTGCTGATCATCATCATCATCACCAGCAGCGGCATCATCGGCGGCACCGGCATCAAAACTATCATCATGCTGGGAAGGTGGCCCGCCGACTGTCGCCTGTGGGCGAGACGAGAACCTGATACATGGGGTCGATAACACAGAAGTCGCATGCCACAACACCAAAACCTGTTGCGTTCACAACTACTTGCCGTTTCAGAAGCTGATGCTGTACTTACAGGCAGTGTGCAAGAAACGGTAAGGGAATGCATCGAAGCAGTGCTGGATCTTGCAAGCACGGGACCACGGACCACATCACAGGCTACGGCGCTGGGCACATCTAGTGCAGCGAAGATGCCGCTCTGGAGTCTCCAACATTGGCGACGTGAGCGATACGGCTAAGACCCTGCAATTCGAAGCACATGCGAACACAAAGCTGCTCATCTAAATGCCCGGGGGACAAGTTGGCCTGCTGGATCACTAACGCCACGGTTGCCGTGCAGCCGCTGTTCCAGGCCTCGGTCACAGGGACATGCCCGGACTGCAGCTCAGAGTCCTGTCTGGGACCCACACGCCCATCATAGCCAATTGGCTGTCCATTTTCTTGAACCTTATGGGTTTGCAGTGGGTTAGAACCCTAGAGCCCGCCAAAAGAGAAACTTCGAGACTTCAGCCCATCCGAGCATGCCTGCGTTGCAAGACCTGACTTCAATTGTGGCCTCTCGGGGCCTTTCTAGGTCCTGACTTCTCACGACTGATTATCTGTCCTTGGCCAGGAAGCTTTCACAGGCCCTTACGAAAGGGGTTCACAGTGGGCCTGGAGGCCACAGACCTTCTTGACATCAAAGCACACATGGTCGCGACGATCTAGAGAGGAATCGGAGGACTCGCTCCCAAAAAGACCTTGAGAATTCCGACATGCTCCGACGGCCCCAAACTGTCCAACATTCTCCGAGTCACGCGGCCACCAACGCGGTCGGGGCATCGCCGGCCGCAAGCAGCTCGCTTCGCACGGTGCCGTGGAGGTGTGCCTGCGAAGCGGCTATCAGCCGTCCCAAAGCCCCTCGAACAACTCGAGCTTTGGGCAGCGCTCCTCCACGTGATCCACCTCGGCTCGGCCGCCGTGGCCATCGTAGACACCGAAAAAGTCCCAGAGCTCCTCCCAAGGAGTTGATTCTTCACTGGAAACAACTTGCGTCCGTGCTCCGAAGTCCTCCATGTCTGCGCTGCCGGCCCTGTGAAGAGGCTGAACCACCTGCACAGAAGCCACAGCTTAGCATTGTCTGTGTGAACGTCACCAGGATTCGCCTGATGGCCATCCTCCATGTATGGCCGGAACTCGCTGTTTGCGTCGGATGCCTTACGATAATACGATATTGCCCGCGCATGCCACATCTTTAGGTATCTCTTTGTCAAAAATTTGTCATATATCATATCGTATACATACATATATCATATACATACATACATATATATATATATGTGTGTGTGTGTATATGCAATGTATGTATAGAGAGAGAGAGAATACAACAGACAACATACAGAAATACAGAACAGACTATACATAATGGTAGAGTATGTGGTACACAGTCTACAACATATAGTACACGGTCTATACCACTCAACATACCATGTACAGCATACAATATGCAATGTATACTACCTATTGAATTCTAGGACCTAGGATCTATCGAACATACCATATGCCATATACACTACATATGTACTACATCTACTTAAAAAGCATATCTTCTACAGTGTAAAACAAGACATCCTCAGAGTCTCAGAGAGACAGAACAAAGGAGACGTAAAAGGGTGAGGCTGGGCTCAGCGGCAGAGCTGACGAAGGCCGTTCTCCGAGCTGGCCTCGGCCAGAGAGCCTTGGCCTCAAAGGCAAAGAGATGAAGACACACACACACACACAGGTAAGGTTTGTAGGGATTTGGTGAGATTCGGGAAAGGCTTAAAAGGGATGTAGAGGGAATTCAGGATCGGGTTGTTAGTGATTTAGGGTGTTTTTAAAGGCTTTCCGCTGGAATGACGACACAGAAGGGCGCGCAACTGAAGACGGCCTGCCTTCTCGGCAGAGGGGAAGATCGGAGAATGCCTTCCGGGTAAATCGCAGGGCTCCCAAGGCTGTAGTCGAGCGTGGTTCGCCCAATGCCAAACGGGCTTAATCTGTGCCAAGTCTTCACTGAAAGATTGTGTTTCGCTCTTGTTTCGGCAAGCGGAATGATAGATAGCCTGCAAGGCGGCGTGAAGGCTTTGCGAAAGTTGTGAAAGCCTTTTGAAGGCATATTGAAAAGGCAGGATGCATTTTGCCCAGCACTCCCTCGTACTCCCCAGCGTACATTTACAAGCCGCTGATGCAGCAGCTTGTCTTTTGTTGTTGCCTTCAAAGATAGGCCGTTGTTGTCTGCTGTGTTGCGGCCACGACTCCTCACATAGCCAGCTCGCACGTAGGAATGTTGTTGTTCCACATTTTTGTTGCGCCAGAAGCAAAGGAGTTGTCAACCTTGGTCATTAGTCCGTTTTTGGTCTTCTTCGGCGGATTGGCCCTGCGACATTGCATCACCCTCTTCAGTTTCTTCGCCCCATGAGGTAAACAACCAACTAAAGCCTGAGCTTGTTGTAAAGGCCACGACCTGCTGCAAGGCAGGCGGACTCGGCACAGCACTCGGGCTTGCCGATGGGCGAAGGTCTCGGGTCGGTCCCTTCACAGCGCCCTGGCCCTTCAGAAGGCTCCCCATCCGTCACAAGCCCATCGAGGGATTTTAGCAATATTTTTTTGCCATTTTGGTGTCCAGCTGAACTTGCAAAACGACGGACAACAGCAATTGCACGCGTGCATTGGCGTGCATCTGAAAGTGTATGATCGGCGTATTCTGTGAACTTGTCCACGCACCCCGCGAGCACATCTGCACGTGTCAAGGTCGAAAATGCAGAGGCCAAAGCGTTTTCCAGTTTCGCAGGTTCCCTGAGACTTGCACAGCTGGGACATCTTTATGCGCCTCAGTATAGGACAAGCAGCACCGGAACCTCCTCAGGCTCTACCGGTACCTTCTTTTGCGAATCGAACATCACATGGCCCCTGATGACTCTGGGATTATTACCTTAACCCTTTACTCTTCGATCGTGATGCCTCCCGACTTCCAGGTGCTGGATGGTTTTTGTAGCTCGGTGTAGCGAGTGGAATGTCGAAGCCACTCGGAAAGGCCGAACACAGGTCTGCCGAGACCAGTACGACCCCTCCTCTTGATCAGTAAACTGCATGTTCCGACCAAGAGAGCTTGATGAACCGACATTCGAACATCAAAACCACTGACGGGGTTGAGACAGTGTCGAAATGCAAGCGAGCCTTAGAGGCATTGCACTCGCAGATTGCCTGACATTGGAAAAGGCCACAGGACGATGGTTTGCAATTTAAATGTAACGCTGTCAGGTTGTTCCAACTATGCTGTCTGGGATGCTTTGCCCTACGTTGCCTTTCTCGGATGCAACTAGTGTTTGACTCGGCGTCGAAACATGTCCATGGATTTTGGACTCCTGATCCGAACTATTGGAAGCACGACTCTGAATGCTGTATCCTGGGCGCGGCCTGGGCGGAGATGCCGTCGGTGAGGGCCTCTGCGCAGCAGCGATGTGCACTGCAAAGTTCGGCTGTCTATCGGAGAACATCCGGCCTTCCGCGGCTTTCACATGGTGAAGATGCCACAGGGCTGCTCGGTATCCGCGAGACCTGAGCGTTGCGAGACAGCTGAAGCTGAATTGGCAAGGCCGGCCTTCCGTGCATCAACCATCATCAACCTATGTAAAACATGTCTGGGCCGCTCCACATGCCCTTTCTGCCTGAAAAACATGCATCTTCCTCGCTAATTTCATTTTAATTTCCTTGCTAAGGAGCTACGCCCATTCCTTTTTCAGCAGCCGTAGCCCAACAGGTTGAAGACGTACGAGGCAGCCGAAGGAGCAGCAACAGCTTTCAAAAGGCTCGAGAGTAAAGCTGAAGCCGCAGAAAAAAAAGCACCTTGATGCCTCATTCCTCGGGTGGGTGAGGCGGGCCTTCAAAGCTGCGGGAAGCGCATCGTTTGCAGCATGAACGAACATGCAGCTTCCTCGCCAGGTTCCCTCCTATAAGTCTATAGGGAGCTACGCCTAGTCTTTCCTCAGCAGCCGTAGCCCAACAAGTTGAGAAGTTGAGGACGTGGGAGGGCACTGCTTGAAGAGGGAGAGCAGGTCGAGCAGAGAGGAGAGGAGGATCCCGATGAGCACCCCAGCCAATAGGCCAACCCAGAAAGCAGGAGGGAGCTCAGCGGTGTTCTCGATAGCTATAGGTTGGCCGGTAAGCCCGGGCTGCTCGTAGCTTGGGGAAGGATGCAGCTGTTGGCTCAGCAACGTAAGCAAAAGAGAGCTTAATGACCCTCCAGCCCCTGCGGCTAACGCGCGCCCGCTCAGGAATCCTTCAAAGCTGCGGGAAGCGCATCAGTTTGCGCATGAACGAACAGAGGACATGTTCCGATTCTGAAGTTCCCGAGACACAACCTTTCACAGAAGCACTTTGCTGGCACACCAGTCTTCCCAAGGGACTGATGCTTCCCCCCGAACTTCAGATGTCTCGAACACAGCGCAGGCCTGTTCTGCACAGCGGAGTGGACTAATCGTTGGTCACAACTGAGGACGGAGATCAGAGATCTCACGCATAGCGTCATTGCCTTCTCTACAATGGCCCAATGTGCTTGTCACCGTCGGTTCCCTCGTTGGTGGTTGCGGCTTAGGCATTGGACCTTTCTGCAGTGAGCTTTTCGGGATCCTCGGTCGACATCCGCTAGCTATTTCACCCGGCCAGAGCAATAGTTCACTGCCAGAAAGACCTGTCAAAAGCAAAGCGCAGTGGTCTTCTTGCCCTCGGTGCATGCTGAGATTCGGACGCTGGGTGTGCGATCGCCTCGCCGCTGCGCAGTGCCTGGCCAGAGCGCCGGAGGAGGACGGAGAGTGGCTCACGTGTCAGTATGGCTCTGCACTCACTCAGAGCTGCTTCACTTCTCCGATACAGGGGTTTCCATGAGTCACAAAGTCGGACACAGCTCTGCGCTTCTCGACAACCCGTACGGAAATCATTCCGAAGCGCACTCTACTAGTGAGTATAATCCCTGGGACCAGAGCATTCAAAATCCACTTAAACTGCCTGGAAGAACATGCAAGTCTCGGAAGGAACCTCGGCCGTTGGACGGGCTGCAGATGCCTTGGTCGATGTCAGATCTCTTCAATTCTGAAGAAGTTAAAGCTCGGAAGGATGCATCTCTGCTTGCAGAGCGGCAGTGGTACCACAAGCATATGAGTCTTGATTCATTCCTTCCTGTCCGACTAAGCTGAGGGCTTCCAAGTTCAGACGGCTTTCTTGGCGGAAAGCGGCGATCTGCCTGCCCGGCTCTTGCTCTTGCCGATTGCGAAAAACTAGCAATTAGCAAGCCGAAGCTTTGCATAGCTCTGCACCTTGCCGTCCTGGTGTCGTGGGCCAGGACCTCCAAGTTCTCTGCTTCGCCCACATGACATGTCTCATCTTTGGTGCACCGAGCGCTGGGCTTTGGCCACGGGACGGAGGCTCCGAGCAGGGTAAGAGCGCTGCCTCTCCCCGCTCTCAGCCCGCAGAAGTCTAGCGTTCACGAGATTACACTGCTGTCATACGGTATCATATTACACAATGGCATCACCTGATGCTGAGTCGCTTGGGTAGCCTGCAGCACAGCCAGTGCGCCGCCGGTAGCAGCACCTCCATCACCTCAAAGGAGAAGTGATGCTGAGGGCTAGGCACCTAGTACTGACAGACGCAGAGTTGCCATTTAGTTGAGGCCGTCGCTGGCTGGACGAGTGATCGGAGGAGGCCGCAAGCTTGCCATCAACTCCTGAAGCACAGCGCAACGACGATAACATTGCCGTTCCCCTGGGTACACAAGGTGCGACAAGGGACTGACATGGAATGCCCAGCAGGCCTCAAGGCTGTCGTCGAGGTCGCCTGCCCTACCTTGTCAACACATCTCTGAGCATGACACGGGCGAGCAGCTAGTTTTCCCGACCAAAGCCTAGAAACAGACCTGCCGATGATGCCATGCGAAAGAGAAGCTGTTGCAAAGGGTGCGGAATGGTCAAAAGCCTACCGCACGCATTGTGGACAACATTAAGTACCATAAGCAACGTCATCGCATCAATTTGCAGTCAAGTGGCCCTTTGGAAGCACGGCGGCATCTCTTCCGTCACAGGTAATCGGTGGCGGATCCGATGAGAGCCTCGCAGCAGGGTTTGCTCCGGACGGGTAATGTAACCAAATACAGGTAGACAGGCGTCCTATCTTGCTAGTATCGCCCCAGCTCATTCCAATGTGCTGCATCTTCCTGGACAGGATGCGATGCGACCATATGGCCTACCGGGTTCCCGGGAACAGGAACGCAATTCTCGGGAATGTTCAACCCTGGCATATGCGGTGGATCCCAAGCTCCCGGTGATGCCATTGCATCTCGACCCACGGAAAAGCCTGTCAAGTTCGCGTCTTTAGACGAGCCTGAAGCCAAACACCAGCCGGGAGACTGGGAATTGGCAAATTTCAACAGCCGTTTAAGGCAGATCTTTTTTAATCATCAGATTGAGTCCGACCTGCTGACCCGCTGAGATCTGCTACTGCTAAGCATGCCAACGACCTCAGAATGACGAGCACAAAGCTACATGAGCCTGTGGGGCCCAATGCTGTGCAGAAAACGCCTCTGTACATGCCAGGCGCTTGTGGTGGCAAGGTCACCCCTCTCTAAGCAATTGGGACCCTGCGGCCCTCAAGCAGCAACTGCGACGGGTTTCTTCCAATCACCAGCGTTTGATCCTAGGAGTGAACACTTCTGCTTCATCTCGCCAAAGGGGCACTTGCACTGGCGGTGACAATCGAAATCGGAGCCACACTCATGGTGGCAAGTCATTGATGCCACCACCTTCTCTTTGAGCCATGGCATGGAAGGAGTGGGACATGAGCTGTGCCAGGCGGAATCGTGGTGGCATTTGTGATGACACTCCATGATTGGTTCCACCTCAGTACAGCTCTTCTTCAACTCCCACCAACTCTTTGTGCACTTCTCCAAGCATCCCGTGTCGCTCTGACACTTGTGGGTGCAAGTGATGACTTGCTCCTGCAGCTGTGATCCCCGCAAGAAGAGATTCGTCGGATCCTGCTCGGTCGCACTCTCGTGGTGGAAATGGTGCCAGTGTCCGTGGTGACCGTGGAAGGCATGGAAGCCGTGGAAGCCATGGTCATGCTCGTGGTGAAAGCCCTCGTCATGGTGGAAGCCGTGGTGGAAGCCATGGTGATGGTGATGGTCATGGTGAACGCCCTCCTCATGCTGGAAGCCGTGGTGGAAGCCATGGTCCAGCCCGCGGTGCCAGAACTTCCAAATCCCTGCCTTTGGGCACAGGTGGTGGCACTCACCTTCTTCCTCCCTGCACGCGTCGTGGCACTGCTGCGCTTCCTCCAAGGCCTGGCATCTCATCTGCAGATCCATCAGCGGCGTGGGACAGTGATAGTGACACTCCCGATCTGGGCCGCAACGTTCGTGGCACTTGTTGGCGGTCTCGACCATCGCCTTCATATGCGGGCAGCTTGGGAATGGGCATTCCGCGTGACATTCATCATCGTGACCACAGTTGCGGTGGCATTCACTGATGGGCGTCACTTCCTGGAACGTTTAAGAAAACTTAAGAAGCAACATTCCTGGCACTTTGAACAAATTTAAAGAAACAACAGGGTGCTGCCCAAAAGGTCCCCATGAGCCAAGTCACTTCCTGGCAGATCTTCCTGAAGCCAAGCCAGAAGGGCTTCGGACATTTCTCGATGCAGTCGGCGTCTCCTGCACAGCTTGCTTGACACGACCGGAATGTGGAGGCCATCTGGGCTGGTGGAGGCTGCATACCAGCAAAGTCTGGCTTCACGAACGCCTTCCCTGGGAACACCCTGGGACACTGCTTGTGACAGACCCGGTCTTGGCCGCAATTCTTGTGGCAAATTCCCGATGTACTTAACCTCCCGCACATCTGCCTGAATGACCTCACAGGTGCATTGCACGCATCTCGGCATGCATCGTCAGAGCCGCAGTCGATGTTGCACTGGATGATGCCCTTGACTTTTGCCGCCATCTTGGGGCACTTTGGGAGAGGGCAAGTGCGGTGGCAATTCATGTCATCACCGCACCCCTGGTGGCATCTGATGACGATGTCAAACACCTCCGTGCACATCTCTTCCATGTGAATCCATGGTTTTGGGCATTTGGACATGCACTCCTCGTCTTCAGCACACTTCTGTTTGCACATCCAGCGGTCTCCCATTGACTTGTGCCATGTCTCGTGCCACTCTTTCGTTGGCCACTCAGCGTCGTCGCCCACAACCTGATTGAGGAAGCTCGGCCGGTAGTGGTATCCCACGCCAATGAAGCCAAGAAGGCCAAAGGCAGAGAGAATGGAGGCGATCGAACAGCTCAAGTTCATCGTCGAATTGCGGCAGGCGAACGTGCCTACCCCTCGTCCTTAAAGAAACCAAGACTGGCTCAAGCTCCGAAGCTTGAGCCACAGCCATTTTGCGTCATTTTACATCATGAATCATGGCGTCCTGTTCTGGGGGCATCCCGCGAGATCGAGATGAAGCCAGAGCAGCAAGATCACAGGGCCTGTGGAGAGGAGCCAGATTGGCTAAAGCTCGGCTTGGACTGCCACCGGGGCGACCTGCCACAGCTCGGCTCGCCGGCCCAAAGGCCAAAGGCGTTTCAACAAAAACAGCCCCGTGCTAAAGGAGAATGCAACGGAAACGTTTCCCAAAGATTGTGGGTCTGGGTCTTTTCAAACTGGTCAAGGGCTTCTCGCAGCACGTTCGGCCCTTAGGGAGCACGGTAAGTGCTTGACCATTCAGGGAAGACGAGGGTTCGTGACCACGCTGATGTGCTGTGCTGTGGGTGCAGTCTCTGACTACTCAGAATGATTCACCCGAGGTTTTTTGAATCTGACAATGTGAGGTGCTCCTCTGGCCATGAGCTTCACAAATACGGTGGACGGTGAAGTAGGCCTGTCGGCGAGGCTTCGTCGCTCGGTCGCGCCACTCGACGCCCGGTGGCACCCAGCGCTCCGACTGCAGCAGCTTTAGGGAAGCACTCAGATGACCGATGCATACATGTCAAACCAAGCCAAGTTTGCCAAATGCCTCCGGCGGGCTTGCGGCTGCGGGCTGGTGGCCCATTCGGGGTCAGTGTCGCCAAACCACCTCAAGCTGAACGGCTGCAACTGTGACACCTCGTCATTAAGGCTTGATGTCGCCTGAACTCTAGTGGCAGTGCAATGCCACCCACCATAGACAGGCTCTGAGAACACAGCTGTAAGACATTCCGCCCAGGCCAAGCACCTTTAGCTTTGGTGATTTGGGTTTTGCGTGAAGGCGGGAGCACACTGTCTGGAAAATTACATCCTGAGCCAGCCCCGCTTCCTGCCTGGTCCCGGCGGCTTGTCAAGTGTGTTTTCTGCTAGAGCATCTGCCATAAACGGCTGAAGCTGCTGTGTGGCTTGCGCAATGTCCGACAGAGCAATGCGCTGTCTGGAGTCGTTGCCCGAGCTTCGGTTAAAATTGGAGCTGGATCGGTGCTGCGTGGACTGGCTTCTATGACTCTAGAATGCAAGAGTGTAGTGTGCAAGAAGCTGAAGCCGGCAGCAGCAAGCAGCTGTAGTTGAGCAAGGCTGACGCTTGATGCAAGGCCACGAATCTTCCGGCACAGGGACAAGGTTCCGTGAGTGCTCAAGCCACGACCATCATGTCTGTGCTAATTATTAGGCTGTGCCTGCAAGTATTTCAAGCTATCTTGTCTGCTGCATACCTGCATTCGTACATATGTGCCCCATACCTGCACACCTACAGCCACATACCTAGACTTACCAATAGGCCACATCTCCATGAGCAAATGTCTAAGGGCAGACCGTCGCCGGGCATTGCCAGGCAGAACACAGAGTTGGCGTAGAGTGCCAGCCGCTCAGCCTCTGTGGGTTTAGGGTTCTTCTTCCGCGTCGTTGCAAAGGTCGTGTTATGGCCGCAGACGTTACAATATTAAGCAGAGTCCGCAGCGATCATGTGTTCCCGGTCTCACTGGAACCAGTGTTTGTGCTTGATGTTTCTGAGTCCCGTGTGATCGTTATTTGGCACCAGAAACGACGAAAGCCACGAAAGCGCTTACCGAAGAGAACTATCCTTCTGGGGCTAACTGCCTCTCACTAGATAGTGGATCTGATCATGTTTGATCACAACTTGTAGGACTTCTCCGAAGATGGCTTGACACTACGCTGTCAAGACAACCTGACCCCGTGGAAGAACTGCATTGCTGGCGGCTGCAAGCCTACATTCAGGCCTTTGGCTGCACGTTGATCTGATCCCTACTGCCCTGCTGTTTACATGTCTACAACCAAGCACTACTCCTAGTACGTCTCCTCAACTCTGAGTCCCTTCAGTCTCCAAAGAAGACATGCCAAACATCCTTACGCAGTCAGAGAATGAAAATGCCAACAGGTGGCAACACCCCGTAGTAGATCATGCCAGTTGAACATAGGTTGCTGAATGCAATTCTTGCTGGTTGATCCTGCCCATCTTCGATATTCATAGCCTGTTCATGAGACTGATTACGTTGACTGTTCCTCAATACAAGGCCGCCAGTAACGCTCGCCACCACGCCACTATGTCTATGAATGTGTACTCTCGACGACAGTGCTTCGGAGACTTTGCTGAGCCTCGTAGTCCCGAGCAAACCGGTACCGCGCTTCTTCGTGTGCGTCGAAGACCTGGAGAAGGTCAGTAACTGAAGCGCGGGTGTGCTGTTGCCTGGAGGCTTTGGGATTCAGGAATCGGTCGGGGGAGTGGCACGCACAGGGAATGCCCGCCTGGATCAGCAGCCGCTTATCCTGCATGTCCGGTCGGCCGGCAGCTCCGGCAACCAGCAGCCTGCAATGAAAGCGAAGCTTGGATGCATAACCTGAGAGGGTCGTAGGCCAAAGGCTTCGGCGGCTTCGGTAGACTTGAAGCTGCATCTAACAGTTTATTGCGCCGCTGCCCTGTCTAGGGAACTTCTGCCGGTTCGTAGCGGCAGGCATTTTCGGCAACAGCAATCATAAGACTGGAGCGGCATGTTTCACCGGCATCCTGCCATCAGTGGCAGATCTACAGAATTTGAATCATTAGCCGAATTCTGCCGCCATCACCCGATCCTCGGACATCCTTTTCAGGTAAACTCCCGATCATCTCACTGACTGTCATCGGTCTCGTCCTCGTCCTCGTCGTCATCTTCATCTTGATTGCCATTGCCTGCCTGTGCTCGCGACTCGCTAGAGATCCCCTCGCAACAAGGCACAACACCTCACAACATCAAATGCTGAGAAAAAACCCTCCCAAAACGATGATCCGAGCCGCCTCCATCCTCAGTTCCCTCCAGCCGAGATCCCTGAGTTCTTTCTGCACCTCCTCCGGACGGGAGCTCATCACGGAGTCGAGGACCGTGACCTGCAGACAAGTGTCACAGTTTGTTGAGCCCTGATCGGGGCTGTTACAATACAACCAAAGGGAACTTTGGGTTGTCGTTGCTCCTCGCCTGCCCGCGAGCATCTAGTCGATCCAGCCGATGCTCAATGGCAATGCCAGATTCGTCGATCTGTCCTTGGTCAACGCATGTCAATGCACAGCCACAGGCATGAAGGCCTCACAGCTAGGAATCTGAACACTGTTAACCGTCTGCGCTCCAAAACCTCTTCCATGCCAGGGGGCGCAAATCCTCACCTTGATCGCGCAATTGCAGAAGCTTGCTGTCGCGTCTGCGGAGCTCAAAGCCGATGCGCTTCAAATGGTTGCTGATGGCGATGGCAATCCTTACGACCATAGGGAGTCCCTACCAACGCACGCAGCTTCAGATCCTGCAACGACGGGGAGGCCCTGTGACAGCCAAGCATCGCAGGGCAGAAGCCAAAGCCAACCAGCATGGCCATCAGCACGAAGAGCATATTGCTCCATGGAGAGTGAGCACAAATAGAGACATGCACAATCCTGAATGCTTTGTGCACAACGGCGATAGCCGCAAAGCACCGACCGCGAGTTGCACAAGCTAGGTTGTTGCCAAGGCTCTGGTGGTAGTATGGCCAAATATTCTTTGCGTGGAAGAAATCGTAGGCGGTGTGAGTGCTATTGAGGAAGGAATGGACCAGAGGCTCTGGGCTGATTTTGCTGAGTCCTGGACAGGTCAGCGCACCGGCATCCACAACCCAGCTGATCAAGGAGTAGAAACGTAGCACAGAGTAGAGGGCCGCTTCGAAGTTAGCCACAAGAGTGGCCAAGGGATTCACGTTGGTGCCGTAAATGTAGTAGGCCCCCATGTGCTGGAGAATGGCGTCTACCTTGTACTTCTCGTGGACCATTTCGGAAACGTCGAGCCGTTGGAGCGCCTGCCAACGAGCGAAGAGCATTGTAGTTACAGTGGGAGAAGTCAGGGATTAGGAAGTAGTGGCCGCTTACAGCAGTGCGTCCAGAGGCAGCAGAGCGCAGCACCGACCGGAACATCAAGAGAAACAGATGAAAACACCTAACCGGCCGCCTGGACCATGTTGTCGTCCACTTGTAAGCAGTAGCCACTAACGATCACAGACAGAAAGAACGCACCAGCACCAAACATGCCAGCAGCTAGCATGAACATCACGATAATCGGGGCAAACGACTTGAGCGCGAGCTGCATGCGCGGGGCGTACAGCAGTTTGGGCTGATTCCAGATATAGCACGCTGTCGCCAAGATCGCGAAAACACCACCAGTCAGAATGAAGCTTGGAATAAACGGATAATAGATTATTTTCCAGCCAGTCTGCTTGACTATTTCCCTAACTTTGTCCAGCAGCACTTCTGACGTGGTAAACGACTCCCTGACGAGAAGAAGAATAGCATCCACTTCGTTGAACTGGACCTGCAGTGTGCTTGCAAGGAGCTCGACTAAGTGAGTTGCCAATGGGTTATGGTTTCCGCATGTCTCGGGAATAGCGACCAGACTGGCATTGTAGCTCCTCTCTGCATGAAGCAGCTTTCCTGCCATACTGCCCAGGTGCTTCATGGAATCTTCCAGGTGCTCCACACGCTCGGCAATGGTGGCGATTTCTTTTTTCACAGACAGAAAGCGCAAGAGCTGCAGTATTGCAAAGAGCAACATGCAAACGACCGTCAAGCACACGATTGAACGCCTCCTCTCTGGTAACCACTCACACTCATCGCCTGCGGAGCAATCAATCACCCAACACGTCTTGTAAGCAATCCATATTGTGACAAAGATGAAGACGATGGGCATAAAAAGACAAGACCGAGCCCAATGGCTCCATTTCTCAAAAGGATCTGTTGGTAACGGCACAGGTGGCGCCGCTCCAAGTCGGAGGATGAGGTTGTTGTGAAATTGTGGGCGTTTGGGAACACCTCCCATGAAGCACTTGGCGACCTGTGGATATGCATCAGCATAGCAGAAGCCCGGCTCTGCAAAGCATGCCCCCAAAACACACTCTGAGTTCTCCTGGCACTTTGCTGTGGCTCCCAGGCATGTCCAATATCTGTTAGTCTTGGCACATGGAGCACAGTAAGCAGCGCAATCAGGCCAAGTGCAATTTTCGGACTCGTCTGGAACCGTATCATGCAGTCGCACAAGTGAGGCATCGCCGATCACCAAGCCCATCACTCTGTCCATTAGCTCAGACTCTTCATGAGCTGTCCGGTTGGCTTCCATGGCCTTCATTTTCTCTATGAGGTCCTTTGCCTCGTCCTCGGTAATAGCCGGTAATGCCTGGCCTGTTGACGAGGGAAGAAAAACCACTGCCAGCGCTGCGACAAGGCCATGTCTTTGTGGCCACATCGTGCTGCAGCACTGCTGCCTACATCCCAGATGCGTCCTTCGAGCCAAATCTCTCTGCCCAATGCGATCACAGCACGAAACACACGAATACTCGCAACACCAAGGCGCATGCAGGGCCGGCCTCTCGCGGAAAACAAAATACGGTGGCTTGTCCTTGCACGTGACTTGATCAACACCGACAGGACATAGACCGTGTCAGCCTTGATGGACCCGGCGAACGAAACGACGAATCGCCGCGGAGCGCTCAGCATGGCTTCCTTGTTGGCAAGACAGGCAAGGAAAGCGTCGCATGACCATATCAGAGCCTGCCTCCTGACCGCAGTCGTACCGAGCGAAATAAGGCACAGGAACCACACGAAGCAGCTGATAGAGCCTCGTACGTCCGCTCTTGAAACCAACAAAGGCAAAGTCATCAGAATCTTCAGAAGATTAGAGTTTTGTATAGTTCCTGCACTTTAGCCAAGTCGTAGAAGCCCGAACACCTTCCAGTTTCCTACCTCTCGATTCGTCGCAGGTCGTGAATGCTCTCTGCATGGGCTCAATTGAAGAAATGTTCTGCTGCCCGATGGCAGCTTGTGCAAAAGGAATGCAAAGACTGAGAACGGAGCCCAGCATCGAGCAAAGACGATCGGCGACCCTGATTCCAAAGAGAAACCTGCGCCAAAGGACCCATCTCTCCTTTCACAGTCTATCCTAGAGCTGCCTGATCTTTGATCGAAGCTAGAGACGTGCTCTGCACATTATGCCGACAGTGCAAGAGGTTCAGGAATGTATTAGAGTTCGTGCGCTTGCAAAAGTCTGGAAGCATCCGGCCGACACGAGGATGGCATTCCCAAGGAAGGGGGAGTAGCTGTCGAGAACCAAATGCCTGTGCACGAGGACATCGCTGTGTCCAAGAGCCGCGGCCGAACTGTTCCAGATTCCTGAACCGTTTCTAAGTTCCCAGACTGACGTACTTCACGGTATGGCAGCATGTAGATGGGCATGACTTCAGCTCGTCCAGCTCGCTGGACTTGCACCACGTTTGTCTCACTCTTCTCTGCCACAGCGGACATTGCCGCAAGGTTGGCTAGCCCACTCATCCTGCAAGCGCAGCCCCCAGCACCTGCAGGAAGCGATCGGTAGGCGACAGCAGTGGTCACAATGCACGAGTCTACACACGAACTTGTTGAGAAGGCCGGACGACTCCTAAGCTCAATAAGGCACTGGGCTCGGCTCGGCCATGACCGGCAGGCACACATCTTTTTCTGAGGATGACTAGCGGGCTAGCGCGCTGTTTGCAAAGCTGTTTCGAGGACACTGAAGTCCGTGCTGCAGACGGGAAGGTTAGCAGGCCGTCCCTGCGAATTTCTGCGCAGGACGACGTCCACGTATCGTCGCCAACGATGGGCGGATCCCTTACACAAAAGTTCTGGGATGGCAGCCGTGATATTCGTGGAGTTCGGGCTGTTGCTGACTTGCTCCCGCCATGTCGTAGAGCCGTATGGGAGGACCAACCCCTGGCAAGGAGCGGGTTCTTCTGTGTGCAAATACAAACAGGTCTCTGAGCCTGCACGTGCTTGCTGTGCGTAAACGGCATTGATGCCACAGTCATACGGATCGCAGGTGGCCACAAGCTCATTGACCGGAAGGGCCCTGATCTGTTCCTGAGAAAAGTTGAGCTCTTGCTTCATGACCACGTTGAAAGGGGTAGGGGCAAACGTCAAAGCCTTCAGCAGGTTGGGCTGCTGTGCAGCTGTAACGATGGCGAGCATCCCACCCAGCGAATGTCCCGTCAAGAGCAGCTGGTATTCGGGTAGTGAAATCTGCACCTGATGTATAAATTGGTTTGCCTGTGCGGTATAGTCCAAATGTTGCTGGTGCTGGGCACAAGCTTCAGGGCTGAAGCCGCCTAGTCTTGCAACTATCGGGGACAGAAGGCCGTAGTTTTGAATCCTGATGAGGTAGCACTGATCGATTTGGCATTGCTCGAGATGCGGATTTGTGCAAATCCCCTTGAAGACGACAACTCCTGCCTTGCTCTGTCGGTCTACAAACACTCTTGCGAAGACGCCACCAGGGGTGGGATCTCTGTCAAACTCACGGAGCCTCTCCCACTTCACCCCATCAACGGAGAATCCAGCTTCACCAGCACTGCCGGTGCTGGTACTGTTGTTGTCCAGTGGTCGCGATGTGTTGTATGTCAAACTGACGGCCTGCACAAGCACTCCCATTCTTGACAGAAATGCGCCTGGCGGGCTGTCAGTCAAAATAGCTTTCAGGTCCCAAAAGTCACCAGAGATCGGTCCACGATGCAAAGCATGTGACACCTGTAGCAGCTGCGTATTCAATGCATGCTCCTCAAGGATGTCATCCTCTGCTTCCCCGTGTGGCGGGTAGCTTTGCGACCTTGCAGTCGAGAGTCGAACCACGAGCGTCAAAAATCGCAAGAACAGCCTCATGAATCGATCATCAGCAACTGCATCGCGTACCGGCTATGTAGATGGAAGCTGCAGGAGGCAGTGGGGTTTCAATGCATCCCGCTTCAAACCAAAATATCAGGGCAAGAGCAGAAGAAGGGCAAACTTTGTGGAATGCTTGGACTTGGACAATTGGGGCGGTGTCGGACAGAAGCAAGCCTCACGTCGGCAGAGTGGAAGGATCGCGTTGAGCATTCACCTTCAGCTGGCGGAGAGGGGACGGCTGGGTGGGAGCTGGTGGAAAGGCCAAGATGGGTTCAATCGTTGGAACTGCTAAGACGAACTTGAGGCTTCCTGACTGCAATGTGGCACATACAGTATGGCGACACTCGTTCTGTCCAGGCAATAACGAAGACGACGAGACGGTCTGCAGTGCCGATTGAGACTCGAACCACCCACCAGTCATCCGTCGTTAGTAATGAACGGGCTTTCTCCACGATCTCGAAATAGGATGCTTCCTGCCAAAATCTGATCGGCAGCGAGTCCTGTACCTGACAGACTGTCCTCCTTCAGCTGGAGCTGTTAAGTAGCATGGGTAATCGTCGTAATCAAACCCCACTATGACAACGGCCTCTGGGCCTTTTGGCACCTCCGCGCTCAATTCCGCCAATGCCTGGCAGCTCGAAAGGATTCTTGAGTCTAGGCAAAAGAAGCTAGGCATTAAGTTCTTGTGCAACGTCCGTCAAAAGATGCTCAAAACAGCGAATCCGGGCTGAAGGCTGCCAAAAACACCATGAAAACACTCTCAGAAAGCCGTGCTGTGTTTGCCTTTCCGGCCCGCAAGCGGCAGCTTTGCAGAGTACGGAGAAACTTGACCTGTGAGCACCGAGTCAGACCACTGAATTGGAAGCAAATCTGATAGGGTCGGAGGCTAGATCTGCAATCTCAAACCGCAAGACTGAAGATGCCCAAGGCAGCCGATCAAGAGCGTCTGACGGCAGATGTCGACTCACAGCATGAGACCATTGAGAAGTCTTGTAAATGCACGGACAGCTTTCGTTGAAAACTCGTCTAACATGGCGTGTGACGGGGGCTTGTGAACGACCGGGGCTCCGGCCTCCGCATCGGTCAAATCCGGATGCCAAATGTCGACAATGAGGACTGCACGCGTCTCCGGACCTTCGTGCCAGGCCTTCGCACCACGCTTTCGTCTCTTAGCTTTTTGAGTTCTGCGTTTGCCAGGGTCGGCTGCCTCGTGCTCAAAGGAATGGTCCCAAACAAAGGCTTCGCCTGCCTGGGCCACAAAAGCGATGCTCAAGGCAGGAAAAGAGGCGCGCAAGGGCGAGGCGCCTTGGGTTTCAGGATCACGTCCCCGACCTCGGAGTTCTCAGTTGCGCCAATTTGCAGCACGCGCCAAGGCGGCCACGCGAAGCCGGAAACCGTCAAAGCCACAAAGTGGAAGCCTCGGACACCCAGCAAGAAGCAAAGAAAGCAAAAGCAGGAAGTCTTAGCGACGGCTCACGATGGCTCACGGCTCACGGACTCGGGTCCGAGCCAGACTCGAAGCATGCGGTTGGAGGGGCCGAAATGCTTGACGATGTGAGATCCGGGTGTCAACGCCGAGAGAAATGCCTGGAGGTCTGACGAACGGCACTGCAGACATAAAGGAGCTGAGGGTGTGGCTGGCGTTCTGAATGCAATGGCAGGGAAGACAGGCAAGAATTTGTGACTGGCTCGGTGGCCTTCTACGACCCTTGTCAAGTCAGGCGGGCGGACGTGAGAGTAGTGCCTTGGGAAAGCCTCCTTTCAGCGCGCTGCTTGAAAACAAACTTGTTTCAAAAAAAGCTTTTGAAACATGAAACAGTCTCGCTCCTTGATGGTGGCCACCGTAATCGGGAATCGTGCACAGTTGTCCTGAAGCTTGCGAGAACAATCTAGAAAGGTTCGTGGTCCGTGACAACATTGGATGCTCCTCGAACTGCTTGTGGTTGAGGAACAGGTAGAGCACATTCCACATGCCTCTGTCAACGCCTGTCACGCATGGCAGGTAAAGTGGCGGAGCCTCTGATAACCTGGCTCGGCCTGCCTTCTACACCTAAGCCGTCCTTCGCCTTCCGGTCTTCACCACCCGGATGCACCGGGTCCTTCGAAGGTTTTAGGCTCACAGTTGGCTCGGCCAGGAAGCTCTGAATCAGAGTGCAATCAGGTCCCGGTATGGCTGGAAGCCGCTGGGTCGCGAGCCAGATCTGGCAAAGGCAGGAGCAAGTGTGCTTGGGTCCGCGTGTGTCCATCTGTATATATGAATGTATGTATGTATG